GGCACAGGCCGCGTCGCACGGCAGGCAAGTCAGCCCGTCCGGGTCCCGGTACTGGCCTTCGTCGCAGCCGGAAACACATGCCCCGACGCCGGGGGCGCTCTCGACGAAGTCCAAGCCCACCCCACAGCCGGTGCACTGGTCGGCCCCGCCGCCGCCGGTGCAGGTGGCACACGAGATGTCGCACGGCTGGCAGGACTCCCCATTGGGCCAGGCCCCGGCCGGGCACGTGCTCACACATGTCCCGTCCGATGCCAGGAAGAGGCCCGCCTCGCAGGCCAGGCATTTGTCTGCCGTGCAGGAGGCACAGCCCGACGCGCAGGGCACGCATGTCCCGGTGGCCCCGGGCGCCGGCCGGCTGGCCCAGCGGAAGCCATCGGCGCACACCTGGCAGGCGGCCGCGCTCCCGGCACACAGCTCGCAGCTGGCGTCGCACTCGGCGCACCGGCCAGCACCGATGTACTGGCCCGGCAGGCAGGCCCCCCCGCACAGGGACGGCACCTGCACATCGGTCCCGAGGAACACCAGCCCCGGCCGACATGCGACACAACTGCCGGCATCTTCACATCGAGCACAGGAAATATGACATGCGTGGCAGGACTGGTCGGCGCCCAGATAGGAGTCCGTGCGACAAGTGGCACACCCGACGGCGGAGACGCAAGTGGCACAGTCAGCCGCGCAGGCTTGACACACATGGTCCTCGGCATTGGGCCAAGTCCCCTCGGGACAGGCCAGCACCAGGGAAAAGACCACCGCCCCGACGGTCGGCGAGGAGGACAAGAACCGCAAGTTGTACCCCTGCAGGAGAGGCATCTCGGGCATGGAGCCCGAGGTGCCGGGAGACCGGACGATCACCGACGTCCAGGTTCGACTCTGGGTCAGAACTCGCAGGCTTTCCGGCAGCGGCATAAAGACCGCCGGCTGGAGGTTACACGTCCGGAACTCCCCCTGTGGGCAATGGTACAGCGACACCCCGAGGAAGGTGCCCGTCAGCAGGATCAGCGCGCTTGGATACTCGGTCCCGGCATCTGGCAGGAGAATCCCCTGGAAGAGGACATTCACATGTTGACTCGGGGGGATTTCCAACATCTTGGGCAGGACCCCGAGGACCAGCCGCCGGGTGGGCAGGTCCAAAGACCGGCCAGCGGGCAGCATATTCCCCGGGGGATGCAGGACCACCCACTCGGTGCCGAGCAACTTGCAAAAGACCACCTCCTCCATGGTGTATGCATTGCGATGCATGGCCACCGGGACGAATGCCCCATCGGCGTCCGACGAGCCGGAAAGGAACTGCCCCGCGAGCATCTGCCTTCGCGAGTCGGCCGCGAGGATGAGCTCACGTCGAGCGGCCATGGCATGGCCATCGCTGCTAGCCGAGAACAGCCACCTGTCCAAAGTCGGGACCGAAAGCCCCGGCAACACGGGCCCCGGCAAGCTGACCATGCCCGTGCTGCCACTGAGGAGCACAAACCCCACTGATTGAGTAGATGGAATGGGACTGATCAGCGTCAGAAGCCAGTTATTACGCCGTAAAAGAATAAGCTCTCCATCGAGGCGCTCGGCGCCGAGGCAGCCCGCGATATTAGCCTTGACCGGGCTGGTGGCAGTGGCAATGCAGCTGTCCGGCCCCTCGCATGACAGCCAACTGCTATAGGTGTCCCGATTGTCCAGGCAGAAGACCAGCAAATACAGCAGCCGGTTGTTGTGGACAAAGGGCCCGGCCTCGGCGAAGTCCACCACGTCGGCCGAGGGGACGGACTCCAAGCCGTCCACCTCGCGCAGGGAGGGCTTCAATTCCTGGCCAATGTCCTCGGCCAACATGAAGTAGATCTTCTTCTCCTTCGTGAAGAGGAGCATACCACTGCCGGTGGTCGCAAGACCGGGAGCGGGGACTTTCAGCCGCCCGGAGGTCTCATCAATCGCTAGCCACGTTTGCTTGGCGCAGGTGACTCGGTCCGTCGGATTCAAGCTGGGCAGGATCTCTAGCTCCGCCGTGGATGGTGCCAGGGCCGGCGGCGATTGCCCAACCGGCTGGCAGGTGTCGGCCACTTGCGTGTACCCGGCCGAGCAGGTGGCCACACAGATGGTGGAGCCATTTGAGCCGCTCCTTTCCAGCAGGAAGCCCTGGTTGCACACATAACAGTCGTTGGGCACACAGGTCCGACAATTGGCGAAGGGGCACTGGGTACAAGCATGGCTCGGCTGGGAGAAGGGCACTTCATCTGGCAGGCGAGGCAATCCGGCCACCGGGGGGGGGGGGGAGCACAGGGCATGCACGGGGTCAGTCATCGCTGCGGGCACATCAGGATACCGGCGACCGGCGGCCAGGTCGGGCCACCGAAGAAGGGACAACCACGCATACCAGCTTGCCGACTGAGGTACCAGCCGTCCGCGCATCCGGCGCAGAGACGACCAGGCGACACGGAGGCAGACCTGGCACGGCCAGCGACACAGGCCCATCCTGTCACCGACCCGGAGGACGAGCTAGGCCCGTCACACTGGACACTGTCATCGCTTTCGCAAGCGAAGTCCTGCGATCCGAAGAGGGCGGTGTTCTTGGACAGCAGCGTCCACCGACCGGGCCCGGTGTCGGTGGTTCGCAAGCGAACCAGCTGCAGGTCACCGAGGTCCGAAATGCTCGGTGGTAGGACCACTCGCCGCCAGGAGAGATCCTCCCCATCGGCAACCGCCATCCATAGACGATCTCGGGAGGAAGCAGCCCCGGGCAGGACCAAGTAGAAGGGCGTGGTGCTGTCATGCATGGCGGCCACCGGTGCGACCAAGAGCCGCGCCCCGGCCGAGGGCGCCCCCACGGGCCAAGCACTGGATGCCCTTCCGGCGGACTGGCCATGGAAGCAGGAGAATACCATCACCTGGTCATCCAGGAGCAGAAGTATGTCCGCGAAATCCGAACACCCGCTAGTGGGGGGGAAAAGGCGCGTGGCCGCGATCTGCAAAGCGTTCACTGGACTTCCGATATTCACGGAGACAGAGGCGTCCGGATTGTCCACGGACAGGTACATGACGTGGTCGTCATGGGCCAGATAGAAGGACCGACCGACCCCGGCCGCGGCCACGCTGGGCCCCGGCCCCACGGGAGGCAGGCTGACCTCCGATATTTCCAGGTCGTCGGCATCCATGCTGGCCAGGAAGATGGTTCGAACTTGGCCCGGGGTGCCGGTGAGGCCGAGCAAGTCGGCCTGGGATTGTCCGAAGGCCAACCCGGCAAGGAGCTCGGTGTTCCCGTCTGGAAGTGGATGGGCGATGCTCGAGTCGAAGAAGCCCACCATGCTCCGGCTGTGCCACACGACGAGCGGGCTGGTGGCCAGATCCCTGGTCAGGTACATGAAGTTTTCGGGAACCGTTGCACCAGGGAACGAGCCATGGAGGCCATATGGGGAACTGCCGAAAAAGGCTCCCCAACGAATCTCGGCCAGGCTGCTCAATGTATCCGACTGGATCCGGGTTTGGATGTACTTCGTACTGCTGTGCTCGCTGGCGGTGGAGGGGTGGCTGGCTGGCACCGAGTAGACCAGTGGTCGGCTGTACGGCATAACGGGGTACGATGCCGCATGCAAGTATGCATCCTCCCCATGCGCGATGCCGAGTAGGGATCCCAGCAACACAGCCAGAGCCAGGCGCGCCAGCAGCAGGGAGCAGCGGTGCCCCGAAGGTGCCCGGCCTCGGCGCCATGCTACAACAGGCTGCGTGCCCATGATTCGGCGAGGAAAGACAAGGGGCGAAGGCTCGGGCAGCGGGGTCAGGAGGGGAGCGCTGGAGGAGGAGAGGGACGAGGGACGAGGGACGAGGGACGAGGGCAGGACATTACTGACCAGGGTCCATCGGCTTGCCAGCCTCACGGGGGCCCGCCTTTTCGTCCTCCCGCAGGAAGGTGTGAGGTGTCCGGTCCTGGTGACGTCTGTGCACACGACGACGCCGGGGGGGAGGGGCCAGCGGGAAAGATGGCAGCCCGCCCGAGAGACGCCGCCGGCCCTGGGTCGCTCTACCTGTGCCAAGGGTGGCCTATTCGCCGGAGGGAGTCTGAAAGGGGCCGTGGTAGGGGG